TGATGTCCAAGTGGAGACATCAGGGAGGCTGCAGCCTGCATTCAGGGAAGGGGTCTGGGCTGGATATATACACCTGGGAGGCATCAGTGTATAGACAGGCTTCCCCCGTGGCTCAGATGATAAAGAATTCGCCTGCAATGCAGGAGACCTGGGTTCAATCCCTGGCTTAGGAAGATCTCCTGGAGAAGTGAATGGCAACCCACGATAGTATTCTTGCCAGGAGAACCCCATGGACAGAGGAGCCTGGCAGGCTACAGTCGGTGGGGTATTTTCAGCCTTGAGCTTGGGTGAGGTCACCAAGGGAATGGTAGCTGCTAGCCATTAGAGTAAAGTGAAAGTGAAAGGCAGTCAGTCGTGTCTGACTCTTTGCAATCCCATGGACTATACAGTCCATGGAATTCTCCAGACTAGAATACTGGAGTGGTTAGTTAGCCTTTCCTTTCTCCAGGGGATCTTCCCAACCCAGGGACTGAACCCAGGTCTCCCACATTACAGGCATATTCTTTACCAGTTGAGCCAAAAGAGAAACCCAAGAACACTGGAATGGGTAGACTAATCCTTCTCCAGCGGATCTTCCCCACCCAGGAATCGAACCAGGGTCTCCTGCCTTGCAGCCGGATTCTTTCCCAGCTGAGCTATCAAGGAAGCCCAGCCACTAAAAGGATCTTCTATAAAATGAGTAGGTTCCACTTTTAACACACTGAGAAAATGGTTGCTCTGGGCTGTAACCTGCTAAATGGGAAGGAGCTTCCCACAGCCAGGTGAAGGAAACGACGTCATGGGGGTACACGGTTGTTCCAAGGGTCTGAACTACTGCTCACGGGCACCAGCGCGCTAGTTCACCTCACAGAGGACAAGCCGCCAGAGTCGTCCCTGGGCCTGGCTCTGTTATAAAAGGCTCCAGTCTCCTCGAGGACCAAAGTCCTGACGTGAGTTACACTGTTGAGGTCACCCTGGGCTGATTTATTGTTCTGGGCACAGTTTTATGGCTACGCTTCCTCCCACCACATCACCTTCACTTTTATACTCAGCTCCAGCGATTTGTAAAAGCTCCTGGGTCATAATAATTATAATGATGATCACAACGATCCCAATTCTCTGACCACAGCCAAAAGGACAAACTGCTGTAATCCCAAAGAGGGTTTCCTCTTTGGTCCAGGGCAGAGAAGACGGCAGGTCTGATGCCCATGGTCATCCATTTTTCACCCCCACTTTACTGCCGGCTTAGTTCTCTAGGAAGATCTGACCTGGGTCGTGAAAATGGAAGTCAGAGCACTCTGTTGGTGGGAGGAGGGAGACGATAAAATATAGGGATGTACTGGTTGGAGAAGGGTTTCTAACATGTCAAGTACATACATGTTAGTGTAACTGTTCTTTCCACTGCCACCCCCGCTTCCCCACTTCCACCAACATTGTCATCACTGTCACCATCACTAAATAAGAGTTTTATGGCAGCACACCCAAAATCCTAAGCCATACCACTTATCCTGTTTCCCCTTCTCCCACCACCCCCACAGCCCTCCTTCAACTTCCAGTCTAAATAAATCCCGCTACTGGACACATACCCTGAAAAAACTACCATGCAAAAAAAGAAACTTGTCCCCCAATATTCATTGCAGCACTATTTAAAACAGGCAGGACATGGAAGCAACCTAAATGGAATGGATGGAACCTAGATGAATGGAAAAAGGAGACGTGGCACATATATACAATGGGATATAATGTGAAATGAAATTGGGTCACTTGTAGAGATGTGAATGGACCTGGAGTCTGTCATACAGAGTGAAGTAAGTCAGAAAGAAAAAACAAATATCGTATATGAAGGCATATATGTGGAATCTAGAAAATGGTACAGATGAGCCTATTTGCAGGGCAGCAATAGAGACCTGTGGACACAGCGGGGGAAAAGGAGGGTGGGACAAATGGGAAGATTGAGATCGGCATATACACGCTACCATGTGTAAACTGGATAGCTCATTGGGAATCTCCTGTATAGAACAGGGAGCTCAGCTCAGCGCTCAGGGATGACCTGGCGGGCGATGGGGGTGGTTTAAGAGGGAGGGGACATGTGTACAAGTATCGCTTATTCACTCTGAGGTACGGCGAAACTAACACAACATTGTAAAGAAATTATCCTTCAATTGAAAAAGGCAATAATAATAATAATAACAACAATAAAAAGTAATAATAATAACCAATGAAAAGTCCAAGCCATAACTTGAACAACCAAAGTTAAGAACATAGTCCTAACTGTCTCCACATTTTGCCTTTCCCTTGCCTTCCTGCCCCACATCCTGGCAGTTTATAAAGAATGGTACTCCTTATTAATCTATGACTCAGGTGTGCTAGCTAATGGCTTAATTTTCCTTTTTGATTGTGCTGGCTAAAAATCTCAGGTTAACTGAATCCCCAAGGTTTTGAACTGAAAGCTGCATTTGAGCACCCCAGCGCAGAGTAGGAGGGACTCAAATAAACAGCGGAGATGACAATGAGACGCCATTTCCATTGGCATCATGAAAGACTTGATGGAATTTTTGTATATATAAAGCAATTTATTCAATTAATTCATTTTAAAAATGTACTATGTCCACCAGCTTTGTTCTAAGAACTGAAATGAACTTTGTTCATTTGTCAATGAACTGAAAATATAATGATGAGTGACACAGATGTTTTCCCTGAATTCATGAAACAAAGTATAGTGACAGAGAAATGTAAGTGACAGAGAGATAGTAAACAAATGAATACCTCCATAATATGCACATATATTATGTGACATGGAGGGAAAGGCAGAAGTGCTATAAATGAAAATAATGGGATACATCTTTCAGTTTGGGTATTTCAGGGAAAAAAGATCACGAACAGTTCTCTGAAGAAATGTCAGTTAAGCTCAAATATGAGCAGACATTAGCCAAGGAAAGAAAAGTGTATGATATGAGACAGAGTCCTTCTCACAGAAAGAACAGGATGTGCAAAGGTACTGGGGTAGGAAAGAGAAGCTGGAGAAGACTGGTGACAAAACTAAAGTGGAATAGTGGTTGCCGGGGGCTGGGGGCCAGGGGGTTAGCTGCGAAGAGGCGTAAGGGAATGTCTTAGAGAGATGGAAATATCCTATATTTTTAAAAATAATTTTATTATATTTACTTATTTATTTTGGCTGTGTTGGGTCTTCCTTGTGGCCTGAGGGCTCAGTAGCTGCAGCACACAGGCTTAGTTGTGGGATGTGGAATCTTAGTTCCCCAGCCAGGGATCACTCCTGGGTCCCTTGCATTGGGAGCTCAGAGTCTTAACCACTGGACCATCAGGGAAGTCCTTGAAATATACTATAACTTGATTGAAGTGATTGTTACATAACCATACACTACTGCCAAAATTCACTTAAAATCACTGAATTTTATTGCATATAAATTATTCCTCATCAAAGCTTGGTGGGGGGGGGGGCAATGACCATTTTCCAGTTTTCTTTTTTAAGTCTCAATTTAAGGTGCACACTAATCTTACTTCACCTAATATGCAAACAAAGCAGAGAAATGCACAAAATATTAAACTCAGTGTATTTGTTTATGAATTTACTTACGTATTTACTTAAACTATTCATGGTTTATGTTTTTTAAAAATAATTTAAGTTGGAAAGGGAAGATTTGGGATTCAAAAGGCCATTTAATATTTATATTTTCACATCTAAAATTAAGCATTTGAACTTCTGAGCCTCTTTCCTCATCTGTGAAAATGGAGAGAAAATATCCCTCATATCATGTTGTTGAACAAAAATTATCTCATTTAATCTCTTTGGAAAATGTCAGTGCTAATAAACACAAAGTAGGTCTTCAAGTACTAGCATTCTCTTTTGTATCTGAATTTCAAGACCCACTCTTGGGCAGATAACTAGAAAAGATGAAAACTCTATTTGGAAAATATATGTGCATCCCAGTGTTCATAGCAGCATTATTTACAGTAGGCAAGATATGAAAGCATCTTAAGTACCCAACAACAGATGAAAGGATAAAGAAGGTGTGGTACATATATACAATGGAATATTACTCAGTCATAAAAAAGAGTGAAATAATGCCATTTGCAGCAACATGGATAGACCTAGAGATTATCATAGTAAGTCAAGTAAGTCTGATAAAGACAAATATCATGATATTACTCATATATAGAATCTAAAAATATGATAAAAATGAACCTATTTCCAAAATAGACTCACAGTCACAGGAAACTATACTCAGTATCTTGCAATAACCTATCATGGAAAAGAATCTTTAAAGGAATATATTTAGGTACAACTTGAACCACTTTGCCATACACTGGAAACTAACAACATTTCAAATTAACTATGTTTTATTTTTGTAGTGAATAATAAGTAAATAAAAAGTCAAGCAGATTGCCAGATTATTCTGACAAAATCAGCTTCCACCAGAGCTCATGTGTAACGGTATGTGTTGTTCTGGCTGTAGGTACGTCTGTGGCAGGACCTTGGGGTGCAGAAGCAGTGGGGGGTGGGCACTGCTGTCAAGTCGGGAGAGACCCTCTGTACCTTAACTTGCCCCACCCCAATGTGGCAGCAACATTATCACTCAAGATCGCTCCTGAGATCTCATTCAAGTGAAGAGACAAAACAGAACAAGACATTTTCAAACCTCTCCAAAGAAAAGTGAAACCAAGATTGCAAAAACAGTATTCAATTTAGATGCAAAATTAGAATAAAATAAAATTGGATACCTAAAGACACTCTCAAATTTTCCCCAACCTCTATTTTCTCTCTTCTCTCATCCTTTTCATGTTGTTACTATGACTTTCTAAAGTCATAAAGATGAAATTTCTAACTTCCCAACGCCGTAAATAGACTAAAGTCATTGTTAAAGGCTGAATCAATTCACTCTGACTGCCTTTAGTTTTCAATTCCCCCAAGAAAACCTAGTTTTCAATGGAAAAAAGGCCACCCTTTCAACCGAGTTGGGGTGTCTCTGGAGAGAGGAATTGTGTTGATCGTCACCATAAAAACGCACAGGCAGAGGGCAGACAGGCAGAGAGCTTTGGAAAGGCTGGTAGACAAAGGAGGTGTTATGTGTCGTACAACCATTCACTGCAAAGGGATTGTTTAAGTGGAGATGGCCGGTCGACACTCACACAAGAGGGAGCCTTCATCTGGGAATAAAGGCCGCCGCCCGCCTCGGAAGCCCTCCATCTGTCGCTGCCATCGCCCCTTCGCTTCCAAGGTGCTGGCTGCTCTCATTGAAAACGCGGATGGATTTGTGCTCCACATGGTCACTTTAGGGGAGCACCGAGAGTCTGTCTGTGGAGAGGACAAGCCCCAGCTGACTGCCTGCTCCTCCAAGCCAAAGGGGTCTCCATTGGGGGCTCTCTAGTTGCGACTCTCTTTTGATCACTGGTTCCTGATATTTTCCCTTACTGAACCTCCCCGCGCCCCCCACCTTTGGATCATGCTAGCCATAAACAGGGCCAGAGATTTGTCAAGCTGCAAAACTTCTTTTGCTTTGGGGTCCAATTCAAGTCAAGGCCTGAGTACAGCACCTTCCTCTGCAAAGAGAGAGAAAACAAAAAATGAAACTCGGTGTGAATGTGAGCTGTGGAAAGGGTCTGGCTTTGGCATTTGCACGCCAGACCCCTGCGACCGTATGAAGAGTTAGAAAGTCCTGAAAGTGAAGTCGCTCAGTCGTGTCCAACTCTTTGCAACCCCACGGACTGTAATACACTACTAGGCTCCTCCGTCCACGGAATTTTCCAGGCAAGAGTAGTGGAGTGGGTTACCATTTCCTTCTCCAGGGGATCTTCCCGACCCAGGGATCGAACCCGGGTCTCCAGCATTGCCGGCAGGCGCTCTACCCTCTGAGCCACCGTCCTAAGTCACAATAATGGGCCAGAGAGAAGCAGAGAGTCCTCAGAATGGTGAACCTGCAGTGTGGGGCAATACTCACCCCCACGTGTGTGTCCTTCTCCTTCCGGGTGAGCCCCAGCTCTCAGGTGTCATATCTACCCTAAGCTGAGCATCTTGGAGAGTGCACAGCAGTCGATCCTGAGCTGAACACGTTTGACAACCCGGCTTTACCTGCTTCTATCCATCTAATGCAGATGAGGCGAGTATATTTGCCAGCCCTGTTGCACCTAGCAGAAACTGAGGCACAAACAACAGATAACATGTGAAATAACACGCAGTCTCACAAAGAATGACTAACCGGACTCCACTCCCTACCACTGAGAGTTTCATTGTGAGATCACATACGGGGGCGGGGGCGGATCAAATTCATGTCTACTGCTGCCTATTGCTGAGTCGCATGCATTGATGTGCTGTCACAAGGAGTGAAGGGTTTTCTATTTAGGTGCTGGAGGGAGACAGCGTGTCAAAGAAGTTGTGTAAAGACAGAATCCGGAAATCAAAACTCTTTTTCTACAGTATCCTTTCAGGCTTTTGGTTAGGCCACCTAAACACATCCTGTCTTAGTTGAAATGTAATGAATAAACTGTCTCTGCATAAGGAGATTTTTGATAAGTTATTAAGATTTATGTGGCAAACAGAGATATCCGGTTCAAATTGCTAGAAGTTCTCTTACGTAGCATTTGTTTACTCCTCTCATGATGTTTATTAAACAAGAAATATAGGTGCTGTTATTCCATTTGATGCATTCTGGGACACCTGACCTTTTTACAGTAGGTGGATGAAGTCGGGCCTGCTTTCTTCCAAAAACTTCTACATGAAAGCCAAAAGAGAATTAACAGGGATGTGGGAAGTCACATAAACACAGCTGAAGAAAGCATATTGTCTTGATTTCAGCTTGAAATCTGTGTTAAATTAGTAGTAGGAAGTTTAGCAGCAACGCCTCATTTCTTAAAACATCAATTGTTTTGAGGTTTTATTGCAGCACTATTCACTTTTGTGGGAATTAAAAAACTGAAAACATTTCAAGCTTTCCCTAAAAATTCATTAATCCAGAAGATGAATTTACTGATTGTGTTCATTTATTTGTCTTATATTTGGTTTCCTGGGTAGGCTGGCAAGCATATTTATTTTGTTAATTGTTATAAACTAACCAACATTATAAACTAAGAACTGTTTTGAGATTTTTTAAAAGTTCCCAATAACCTCTTAGAACATTCAGTGTTTAAAGTATATTATGCAGATGTTATTGGAATAGCTTTAGGGTCCTAAAGATATTTTTTGACAGGGAGCCCAAATCAGGATTTACATAATGGATTTTGGTCTTGTAAGAGGTATTCATAACTCTTGTTAAATTTCTGCATGCTTTTTCTTTAATTCAAGTTCACCAAAACTAAAAATGGGGCTAATCCAAGATAAAAGTAGGAACAAAGTGATTAAAATGTTCCTCTATTTTGATAAGGGCACCAGGTTAACAGGCGAACACCACTGTTGATGTCAGCATCCCAAGTCAAAGATAAACATGATTGGGCTGCTCTTATTTCAGATTCGGGTGACATTTTTCTTTGTTAAAGAGCATTTCTTTTTCTGCAAAAGGGAAGAAAAGTTTTATCTTAAGTTTCCTGGCTTCGGGCCAAGAGAGATCTCGTCTCCCCTCTCTGCCTTCACCCCTTAACCAAAATAACAAAATTCCTCTTTTTTTCATATTTATCTTTGTATTTTTGTTAATATCCTTTTACTTCCATCCCACTAGGACTGTTTTACCTCCTTTTGTGGGGGGTGGGGGTGGGAGGGAAATGGATTCGCTTAAATTAATGTTTATTTTAGCCTTTTTTTTCTTGAAACCCCCATTTAAATGAGTCCATGACTGTGAAAGGTACCAGGTTTCTTGGGGCTGAAGTTGTTAAGTGAGCATAACTTCTTTGTGGCTGTGTCTCTATGGACATTTAAAATGTGTTTTCTTTTGTTTGGGTGAGGTTTACTTTACCACTGCCAGGTTGTTATAAGAATGGAGTATATCCAGTCATTTGTTTCTAAAAGAATGCAGTTATTAGCTATGTCCTTGGACTTTAACATAAGCTACAAAAACAATGGTTGAGTATACCAGAGTCCATGCAATAAAACTTGAACCTGAGTTCATACAAGGTAAGACCCTTCTTCCTACCAAGAGAAACATACATGAGAGAGATTCTCTTCCCTTTAAGCAGTGGGAGGAATTGATCTTAGCTCAGCTTGTACAAGGGCGCCATATAGTGAAAAACTAGTGGGACCAGGTATCAGAAGACCTTCTGAGTGAACCCTATGCTGGCATCTAAGACCTTCTACATTGATTGATGTTTTTGAACTGTGGTGTTGGAGAAGACTCTTGAGAGTCCCTTGAACTGCAAAGAGATCAAGACAGTCAATCCTAAAGGAAATCAGTCTTGAATATTCATTGGAAGAACTGATGCTGAAGCTGAAGCTCCAATACTTTGGCCACCTGATGAAAAGAACTGACTCACTGGAAAAGCCCCTGATGCTGGGAAAGACTGATGGTGGGAGGAGAAGGGAAGACAGAGGATGACGTGGTTGAATGGCCTCACCGACTTGATGGACATGAGTTTAAGGAGGCTCCAGGAGTTGGTGATGGACAGGGAAGTCTGGTGTGCTGCAGTCCATGGGGTTGCAAAGAGTTGGACATGACTGAGCAACTGAACTGAACTGAACCTCTTCACCAAGAACTCCCTTTATTACTTTCCTTTTCCTTGACCACATCTTTGAAAGATTAGGTCTATCAAACACAATGTTTACAAGGTAGAAATTTATATCTTTGTCCCATTTTTTCCTTCATAAGCAATCTATATTTAATCAAATGAATATTTCAGACAGATGACCATGTCACCATAATGAGCAGTTGTAAAACAGTGAAAGTTGATGTAATTCTCTTAGCTTGACTGAGGGTGAACCTGTGATTTCCATTAGGTCTCTGGACATAGTAAATATAACTTAAGCTCAAGGCCCAAAGTTGGGAACCACTGGATTACTGTATCTGAATGTCAGTTTTCTCATCTTCAAAATGGGGGGAAATAGCCTCAAGGTTGTCATAAAAAGTAAAATTAAATCACATGTGTTAAAGAACTATACAAGAGCCTAGAGATCAACATAAATTATGCACAAAGAATCATGGGAATATGAATCTTGAATTTCCAAATGTAAAAAAAAAGCTTCCATTTCCTAGTAAGATAATACATGAATCAAAAATCTTTTTGATTTTTCACTTGGCTGTGCTAAGACTATCAACATGGAAATCCATTCTTACTTGAACTTAAAAATAGGTGAACACCTTCAAACCCTTTTCTGAGCTAAACAGATAATCCCTTTAATATAAGATTATCATGTTTTGAATAGACATGGATTTCCCAGGTGGTGCTAGTGATAAAGAACCTGCCTGCCAATGCAGAAAACATAAGAGACATGGGTTCCATCCCTGGGTCGGGAAGATCCCCTGGAGATGGAAATGGCGGCCCACTCCAGCATTCTTGCTTTGAAAATCCCATTGACAGAGGAGCCTGGTGGGCTGCAGTCCATGGGGTCAAGGAGTCAGACACCACTGAAGCAGCTGAGCAAGGACATACTTAGGCATATTTCCAGGAAAGAAATGTTGGTTTGGCGGCTACAATAAACATATTTGCCAAACTCACCATCCTTTTTTTTTTTTAATGGCTTCATCCATCCTCCTTGTGAGCAGTCATGTTTGTGCTAAGTAATCACACTTGTTGGCAACAGACAAGTGGACCAGGAGTGAATACTCACCAAGAAAGACCAACGAGCCCATCAGATCTCCTCTTATAAGGCTATTGAACTACAACCGTCAAAAACTACTTAAGTGATGATGAGTGTTTACACGGAAAGACCATACAGAGTGGTTCATTCATTTGGTCTTACCTCCATTCCAAAGTCATTGCCTGACAGAAACCAGGTACGGAGCTGAGCCAAGAATAGAGTCAAAGGACTTCCCTGGTGATCCGGGTTAAGACTGCATGATTCCAATGCAGGAGTCATGGGTCCAGCCCTGGTTGGGGAACAAAGATCCCACAGATCAAAAAGTAATCATTAAGAAAAAAAAGAAAGAATAAACTCAGGTTCTCAAGAATGTGTGGCAAAAAAGAAAAAAAAAAAAAGCCAAGGTAATGCGTAACATAAATCATGGAGAGTAAAAATGAAGAGACTGCGAGGAAGCAAGTTTGCAGAGATGAAGGGAAAACTGACTGTGGCAGAGGAAAGCCGAAGGAGGGACCGCTTGACCCGCTCCACCTCCTTTAGGATGTAAGCCCCGCCTACATTTCCTGCTCTTCCTTTCTGGAACGTCCCTCGATATCTTTTTTAATAAGTCCTCTCTTTCCTTAAGCTTTTTTTGTGTAGGGCTTGGTTCATTGCAAGCCTGTGTGCCCCACCTAAGACAGGTGTCACTATTAATTTTTAATGTAAACTGGAGAGCCTTTCCCCCTGCTAAAATACAGAGATGTTTCAATGCCAAAAGGCATTGAAGTTAGTAATTAAATATGGAGAGGAGAGAGGCGCTTTGTTCCTTCCTTTAACCACGGGCTCCCCCCGCCCCGCCCCAACTTCTCACTCTGGAAGGTGCAGGAGTGGTGTGGAGGGGGGGCGAGAGTGCGGGTGCGTCTCCTTTCCCCGGGTCCCATCACCGCCGGGATATGGGGCTAACTAGCAAGTGACCCAGACGACGAATTCCATTTCCCAGCAAACACATCTCCTCTGGCCCCGAGAGAGTCTGATTTTATTTAAATCCTGCTCAGAATTAAATCCCAGCAACATGAAGCGGAAAGGGGGAGCTGGGTGTGAGGTGGAGAGGGAAGCGGGTTCCTAACTTGATCTATCCTAGTGCAGTGGGAGACGGCTGAGTGTTGGTGAGGGGAGGAGGCAGGGGGCATCCAGATGGGGGTGCAGATCCCTGGGGGGAGAAGCCAGAAAGGGTGGGGATTTCACTGTGTTTGGTCCCGTCTCTGGACACATCTGCCTCTGAGTCACCTGCCAGTGTAACTAGGTCAGGATGCAGATTATGTGATGAAAGAAAGTCATAACCAATTCAGAAGGCTTTGGGAATTTTAAGTGATCTTGGTTGAAATGTTTCTCTGGACCGACTTGCCAATAGATCCTTAAAGATGAATTCATCTTAAAAATCCCTTTTAGGTCCTAATGAGAAGAGAGCAAGCTTTAAAGGTGTCGGCTCAGTTTTAGCATCCTCTCCTTCCTGGTCTATTGCCCACTCA